TGATCCGGGATCCCCCCTACACACATCAGGGTTACCAGCGCCCCTCATGACTGATCCTGCCTCACTCCAGGACCCCTCCTTGCACACTTTGGGGCTCCCCCTTCAACCTTTCCTTTGCACCCCACTTGCTGCGGCCACCAGGGTGTGCACACAGCCCACACTGAGCCCTGGCATGGCCCCAGGCACCGATGGGCTCATGGAGAAGACCTGAGAGGGCTAAGTGTACAGGCTGAGCCCCCGAAGTGGGTTCCCCGAGCAACTCCTGGGGAAGGGCAAGAGATGAAGCTCCCACAGACAGGGTGCTGTCAGGCTGAGGGAGGGGACAGCACTTAGCCTGACACTGCAGGGAGGTGAGAAGCCACTGGCTCAAGACTCTTCCAAATTAAAAACTCTTTTATTTAAACTCTCTCCTGTTCCCCTTTCTCCCAGCCTGGAGCGATCCTGCTGCTTCACCAGGCCCAGGGGCTGGGCCCAGCACCCGCACAGCAAGGAGGGGGTGAAGCTCGTGGGAGCCCTTGGCACGAGGGCCTGCACCCCACAAAGCAGCTCCGGAGCACCTTGTGCTCCCACATCCCCGTGCTGCTGCACCCCTGCCCCGCAGCAATGGGGCTGCCGAGGGCCTGCACATGGCTAATCCCTGCCTCGGGCATCACTGTGCTGAGCAGCACAGCCCCCCCTCCGCCTTAGGGGTGCCCCCCCAAGGGGGGAGCACGGGGCACCCCAGTCCCTTCCCGGCCTGCCGGGTGCTGCTGTCATTTGCGCCTGCCAAAGATCGACTTCTTGCTGGGGTTCTTCTCGCCCACGCTCAGCCCGATGAGCAGACGCGCCTTCTCGTCCTCCTCCTGCTGCTGGATGGTCCCGTCTGATTTGCTCTCCAGCTTCCCCCGGGCCTCTGCGCCCGCAGCTGGCTTCAGGCGTAGCTTCTCTTTGATCACCTGCCCCGGGATTTAGGGGGCTCAGCACTCCATGGCCACACCCAGGCCCCTCGGCATGGGGGAGAGCCTGAGTTGCTGCGCCAGTGTGGCTGCTTCCCACTCTGCAGGACATGCCACCTGCCTGGGGTTACCATCTCCAATCTGGGCAGAGCAGCTCTGGCAGCCTCCAGGGTGGGAAGTGGGATGGGGTCCCACATACCTGTGCTACCAAGGCTTTGCGGCTGTCCCTCTTCACCGCCATGGCAAAGTCCAGCCACGTCCACGTGTTGTTGTGGTACTCCAGGCACGGCAGCACCAGGTTCAGGTCACCCCAGTCCACGCTGTTCTTCTCACCCTGAGTGATGGGGGTGTCAGGTAGTGTGGGACAATGCCCCAGATCACCCCCAGCATAGCCCACCCCTCCAGCCCCGCACCTTGTAGCTGACACAGAGTGGCACCTGCGGGATCTTGATGTAGATGAAGGAATTGTTCATGGCTGCACGCTCCTTCATCTTGTCGATGTCATCCACGGGATGCTGGAGACAGAGCAGGAACCATGAGCAGAAGGGAAGTGATGCGTATGGATTTTTGGATTTTTAGCTTTTTCTAGATTTTAGAAGTAGCTGTATTATATGCCTTAGCAGTATTTTCCAGTAAAAGTAACGGCAGTAGCTTAAGGGTTCACATACCAAACCCTGTCCCATATCGCCCCCTCAAAATTCCGTTAGCTTGTTTAGACTTCCCTCAAGGTAGGCCTTCATTCTGTTTAAGAACATCTGCACTCTGGCCTGGACAACAAGATAATATGCAGGCACAGGATCTACCCTCTTTATCTTATCTTATCCACTAAGTTGTCTCGGAGTCCTGTTTTTCTGCGGTCTCTTAAGGCAACAGAAGGAGAGGGGACACAGCCAGGAACCAGCAGGGAAGGGACAGCCGGGCACTAGGCCAAGGCATTGCTTCACCAGGGAGAGGTGAGAGCTGCTCTGGCATGGTGGTAGAAAAATGAGATGCTGCAGGGATCATATCAAGCGTGCAGGTGCCTGGTTGTAAGGAATGCAAATCCTCATGGTGGGAGGGAGCAGGAGAGAACAGACAGGCAAGTGGGGGAGGACATGGCTGGCCAGCCCTGAAGCCAAGGAAAAACAGACTGACACCACAGCAGGGCTCTCCCAGATTCCCCCCTCAAGGCAGCAGCAGGTACCTCGGGTGCTTTTCGGAATGATCTTCTGACCCCTGATGTCCGATTCAGTCCCTGAGCAACTCCCTTGCCTGGGCCCAGTGAGTCATCGGCCACGATCAGCTGCCGCGGCTTCACCACGGGGATCCCTGGGGCAAACAGGGTGGGAGGTGGTGGCTGGTGTCCAGCTGGGGGTTAGCCATGACCCAGACCCTCCCACTGGCTCCCTGTCCACAGGGGAGACCAAAAATCCCTGTTCCTCAACACATGGCTTGCCAGCAGCTGCCCACAAACATAACCTGGACATGCAGACAGAGCTGCCCAAGGACATCCAGGGAGGAGGGTGATCATGAGCCTCTCACCTGTCGTCACCAGCTTGGACTTATCTTCCTCATCCCCCACCTCCTCCTCCTCCACATTACGACCAGGGAAGAAGAAACCCATCATCCTGTGAAAGAACTGGTGGGTGAGCTGGATGGTGAGGGGTACCACGTTCACCTGTGGGGAGAGAGACATGTCAGAGCCAGGCACATGCTGCCCATGCCCCACAGAGACCCAGTCCAGTCCTGGCACCTCAAAATGCTCCTTGATGGAGATGCCTCCCACGGGTGGCCGGACCTTGCTGAAAATCCTCAGTGCCAGCTGCCGGCCAGACTGGCAGGAGCTCTGGGGACGCAGCACCACCTGCAGGGGAGAGGACGGGCGGCTGGGGTGAGGACAGGCCACTCTGGCCAGGCCGAGGACAGGCCACTCTGGCCAGGCCACCTACGTGTCTCCAGGACACAGGGCTGCTCCCCCAGGCTGCCACTTGCCTTGTACACAGCGTTGGGCAGGAGGTTGTTCATCGTCACCCAGCCCAGCTCCAGCAGATGCTCGGCCGTGTCATCAGACTTGTTGACCTGCACGGACAAACCTGTCAGCCCTCCATGTCCCTGTCCCCAGCTCGGGGGCTGTGGGTATCACTGGCTAGCTCCACACCTTGCTGTAGAGGAAGCGCTGGAGCTCCAGCTCGGCTATGCCCAGCTGCCCGTCCTCCTCGGTCAGGCGCCAGCGGGCCTGGGCAAAGTAGAACTCTGTGCGCCGTGCCACACTCACATCCTCTGGCTGCTTTCGCAGCTCCATCTTGTTGGCTCGCTGCAGCTGGAAGTCCTTGAAGCACCTGCAGCAGAGAGGAGAGCACTGGGATGTGGAAGCCCTCAGTAAGAGGGACACAATGCTAAGGAAGCCAGAGATCATAGAATCATAGAACGGTTTGGACTGGAAGGGACCCTAAATCTCATCTATTTCCAACCCCCTGTTACAGGCAGGGACACCTTCCACTAGACCAGGTTGCTCCAAGCCCTGTCCAACCAAGCCCTGGACACTTCCAGGGCTGGGGCAGCCACAGCTTCTCTGGGCAATCTGTGCCAGGGCCTCACCACCCTCACAGGGAATAATTTCTTCCTAATACCCAATCCAAACCTGCTTTCAGTTTCAAGCCATCCCCCCCGTCCTACCTGATGAGTATGTTCAGCTCCTCGCTCTCCAGCTGCAGGTCAGCTTTCTCCTGGCTTAGCTGCTGCTGCAGCCTGTGGTTCAGGTCGAGCAGGATCTCGTTTTTGCTGTCATCCTTCAAGGACTGAAGGACAGACAACCCTCAGCACCCTCTGCCCTGGAGTGGGGATCCTGGGGAGCCAGGCACTGCCTGTATGTGGGCTCACCTTCATGTTGGAGTACATCTGCTTCTCCAGCTGCCGGATCTGGGCCACGTGCTGCCGCACGGCCTCTTGCAGGTGCAGGATACTGCTGCGCTGCTCCTCGGGGTTGCTGGAGATTTCCAGCTGGAAGCGCACCCGCTGTTTCTTCTCACTGTGCTCCTGGACATGGGGACAGGGGAAGGTTAGGAGTGTCTGGGTGCAGTGAGTGACACAGTGACCTGAAGTCCTGTGGTGTAGGGGGTTGGAGGGGATGTAGCAACCAGCTTTGACCTTGAGCTACAGCTGTGGCCTGGCAAAGGAACAAGTAAAACATCATTAAGGAAGAAAACGTGAGAAAGAGAAGAAAAACAGCTGCAGATAGAGGAATGTGTTTGGACATGAGAAGAGATACCAGTGACCTGTCAAGAGACGAGATGGGGCATGTGAACAGAAGCTAGAGACCAATTAAAGATGAGATACAAGCACGTGGACAGAGAAGAAGTAGGTAAAAAGAACGAGTTTGTCTATAATAAAATCCTTGCATGCAAAATGCAGTCTGAGTGCATTACTGTCCGTCGTCAAGGGGACCCCGGGCAAGAAATAGGTGAGGAGAATTTCTCTTTTTGAGAATTTCTCCTTGCTCAAGACACATTTTGTGGCTGAAAAAAACTAAGATTGGGAGAATGTATGAGATCAGCTGATATTCTGTCTTTCCCTCAGGCTGGACGACTTTTTGCCAGGACAGATAGAACAGGCAAACCCTTATCAAAAAAGGTGTTTACAAGGTACATAAAAACATTCTTTCCCACAGAGGGGGGAAGGAAAGAGAAGAAAAAGGGAAAAAACTGTGAAAAGCAGCCCACAGGGCAGTATGGGCATGCCTTTGGTATGCATGGACAAGGAGCCCTGCTTGGTGTGTGTTGTTTCTTTCCACCCAGCTGTGAGTTTCACAGTTGTAAAGTGTTTCCAAAATAAACTTCCTTCAATACCTGAAAGCCCATGGTTAGCTCTCTGGTTACCTGTGTGCATATTTGGAGCATACAGGTGGGTACCTTGCGTTTGGGCTCCACGTGCAGCAGCAGGTTGTTGACTATGTCAAGGATCATGGCATACTGTGCCGGGTTGGTGGAGATCTCCAGGTCGTGGTGGATCAGTGTGAAGGTATCCACAGCTCCTGCAGCAACATAAAAGGCAAGTGGGGCCTCAGCATGGCCAGAAACAGGATGCAAATGGCGACCAGCCAGAGACAGATGGGGGTTACACTGATTCCAGCAGGCA